CAAAGGGTAAAAGGGAATCTTAGGAGAGTGGCTAGGGCCATCTCCAGCCTTCTGTGTACTGTACACCCCAAAAAAGTTCATCTGTGATTGCAACATTAAAGGCTAGGAAAGGTACCAGTTGGCAGTGGGCTTTCTCAGCATATCTCAATTTCTAGTTTGACAAACATGTTGAATACCCAGTCATGTGGTGATAAACATAGAAATAGGAAGCCGGTGCCTTTCAGCCAAATAGTTGGAATTCAATTTAATTTACTTCCAAGATATTTTTCCAATCTCAATATTTATATCTATAATTTAAAAAAACAAAATTCATTGATATATGTAAAGGAATGTAGTGTTAAATACATAGGATACATAGGTAGATAATGAGATGGTTGCTATAGTCATGCTGATGAACATCTCCATCCCCAATGGCAAGGACAACTAAAGTCAACTTCACAAAGCAAAATTTCTGAAAGCAATACCCTGCTATTAACCATAGCCCTCATATCATGTTAGACCTCTAGACTTGTTCTTATCTATTGCCATGACTTATCCTCTGACCTACATCTCCCCATTTTCTCCCAAAAATAGTCTATCTTTATAACCACTACTCTCTGGCTTTGTATATTTAGCTTTTTAACATGCATTCATGTTAAATGTGATCATGCATTGTTTCTCCTCTACTTCTACATTGTTTGGTTTAGCATAATTCCCGTTTGTCCATGTTATTGCAAATGTCAACATCTCATTTTATATTATTTATCTTCTTTTCTAAGACTGGAGAATATTCCAGGAGTATTTATTTATTTTTGTTTAGTTTCATATAATTTGATTTTATTTATTTTTTAATTCTTTATTAATTACACTATATTCACTTTGTATCCCCCCCATGGTTCCCTCCCTCCTCCTGTCCCAATCCCTCCCTTCCTCCACCCTCTGCATGCATGCCCTTCCCCAAGTCAACTGATAGGAGAGGTCTTCTTTTCCTTCCTTCTGATCCTAGTCAATTAGGTCTCATCAGGAGTGGCTACAGTGTCTTCCTCTGTGGCCTGGTAATGCTGCTTCCCCCTCAGGGGGAGGTAATTAAAGAGCAGGCCAATTAGTTCATGTCAGAGACAGTCCCCCTTCCTATTACAATGGAATCCACTTGGATACTGAACTGCCATGGGCTACATCTGTGCAGGGGTCTTAGATTATCTCCATGCATGGTCCTTGGTTGGAGTCTCAGTCTCAGGAAAGACCCCTGTGCTCAGATTTTTTGGTTCTGTTGCTCTCCTTGTGGAGTTCCTGTCCTTTCCAGATCTTATTGTTTCCCCTTCTTTCCTAAGATTCTCCAGGAGTATTTAAATATGTATAGTTATGCCATTCATTCATCCATCAATAGGTACCTGGATTACTCCGTATCTTCATTAAGGACAGCAATGAACATGTGATATAGATGTCTCTTTGAGGCTGTTTTCATATCCTTGGATGCATATGTGCCTGTCATGGATTGTTGCATCATCTGGGAACTCCATTTCTTATATGCCCAGGGTCTCCCATGCTGTTTTACATAATGACTGCACCGATCCACATTCCCTCCAACACTGAGAAAGACTCCATCTTTTCCAATCTCACCAGTGTTCCCTGTCTTTTGTCCTATTGATAAGAGTCATCCTAGTGAGTTTGAAATGATATTGAGTCTTTGTATTTTCATTCTCTGGTTATTAGTGATTTGGAACTTTTTTTCAAAAATTTGTTTGTTTTGAAGAATTTCTATGCAGGTCCTTTACTCACTGAGGGTTTTTGTGGTTGAGTTGCACTAGGTTTTTTGTTATGTTTTGTATGTTTGTATGTTAACCCTGTATAAGACACATAGTCACCAGTATTTTTCTCAATTGTTAGGTTGCCTCCTCATTTTGTTGTTTCTTTGCTCTGCAGAAGCTCTATTTTGCTACATTCCCATCTATTTTTTGACTTGCAGCCTCAGCTTTCGGTATGAATCCAAGATAGCATTGTCAAGGTCAGTGTCGAGACACATTTCCCATAGTACAAATCCAGTTCTGAAATCAAGACTGAAACAATTACAGTTTTATTGTATATGGAGAAAATAATGCCAACATTAAATATATCCTGGTACCTATGAGGACACAAGCGCAGAAGTAAAAAGTTGTGGCTGGCTGGCTCATGATTTAGATGGCCAACTCAAAGACCCCCATTAGAACGAGTGCAGGCATTTCTCACCCCTCTGCATTTTGTTTGCAACCCTTCTTAAACCCCAATTGTGTGAGGCTTTACCCAGACATCCTGTGGTTGTAACACCTTCCCACACGTCCGCACAGCTACATGAGCAGGCAATCCAATAGGGCAGAAAGGTTCCTTTTGTCTTTCAGACAAACCTCTGCTTCTAAGCTAAAAATTATTCCTTTGTTTTGCAACCAGAGAGAAAAACTCAGGTCTTTCATAGGAATATCTTCATCCCAACAGGCTGCTGACTCTTCCACAGTTGTCCCCTGTGCCAGGATGTCATTTATTAACCCAGAGCGAGGACATAGTACCTTCTGAGGTGACTTTTTGAGGCCCTTAATCTGAAGGTGAAGAACGATAGAAATAGTGACAACAATTAGTTTTTCCTTCAGCTTGGTGAGGGCTTGTGTTGGCCTCACTGAGCCCAGCCTACAGCACAGCACAAAAACCTTCAGCAACTGGGTGCTCTGGCCTGAGAAAGGATAGCCCAGAGGAAGAGTATAAATTTAAAACTGCTCAGTATTGACATAAAGATGGTGCCTCTAGCAGGAAGGCGGGCCATCTGCATTTAGTCTGGCCCTTGACATAAAAAAATAAATAAAAATAAAAATAAAAAACAAACAAACAACAACAACAAAAAAAAAAAAACAGCAGTGGATGCAAGGAGAACCAAAGCTCTCTTCCATGAAATCCCCATCTCTGACATTTTTGTAGCATTATTTAAGTGTTTTTCTGAAAATGTCCACTGAAAGTGTAAGGTCATGTGTCAGACTACTGCATAGCATATAGACTCGAGAGCTACCTTCCTCCTGATTGTGTCTGCATGGTCTAGTGCATGTTTCCTGTTGTGTTTTGTTCTGAGCATTACATTATCTGGGAACTCCTGCATTTTTTACTCTGAAATATGATTTCTGAGCTTTTGTAATCCCTTTCTCTCTTTTTAGATGCCCACCCCTGTTTCTGGACTGGCTATAACCAATCCTTGTGGGCTACATAATCATCTAGCCTTTTTCTCATCTCCTGTAAAGAGACCTTGGCCATCCAAAGTGCTTGGGTCATTTCCTCTGTTACTCCACCCTCCTTGCCATGAGTCCAAAACTGATTCTTTCTCTTCCTCTCAGGAAGATGTTCACTCACTTGTGAAAGGTTCATCCTTCCAGCTCAACTCTGAAATCCCTCCATTTCTGCTCACTTCCTAGCCTCTGGCTTCCCTCTACTGACTGGCCAGGTGATTAGGAAAAATTCCACTTGGTACCCCTCACTCTGTCCTTCCAAGTTATCTTTCTTTCTCCTCTCCCTTTTTTTTTTTTTTTTGTTTTCTGAACTTCTTCTGGAAGCAGACAATAACTCTCTGCACCCTGCTTCCACTTTCTCCCAGCCTGTTTCCTAACCTTGTTTCATCTGAATTCTAATAACAGTAAATTGAAGGGCTCCTGCCAGATTGAGGGAGAATGCAGGAACAGGAGAGAGGACTGTGGACTGTTGACATCTCTTCACACAGAGGACAGGGATGGTGCATTTTCTAGGACTCTTTGTAGTAGATAAAACTTCAGGGACAGCTTGAGGCCTTTTAATTACTTAAAGTTTGGAGGATGCATGAAAAGGAGTCTCCATTCTGAATTGCCAGACAGGCAATTGTAATGAACTCCAAGTGCCTTTGGATTCATATGGGGGCAGGATGAAAAACAGATAAGAAAGAATGAGAAGACATGTGCAGAGAAAAGGTGGGGACTGCATAAGATAGATAAGAAGGAACAGGTGTGCAAGCACTTGTCCCAGCTCTTATTTCCATTAGAGACTGCTATTCTCTGTGTGGTCCTTTCTCTACGATGCTACCTGCACAGAACCTGGGCCATTTTCTACAGCACAGTTTTTTAAAAATTTACATACATTACATACATACACACACACACACACACACACACACACATACACATAATATCATGTTAATTGCAGCCCAAATATAAAGCTACTTCAGATTGCATGACTGCATGGAGGTTTCCTTCCCACACTCTTACATTTTGCTTTATACAAGCATTGCAGTGTGTGTGTGTGACCAACCTCATGGCACATTCACAGCAGAGGTATACATACAGAAGGTTCTCCAGCATCTTCATAGTAAGTGGTATGATATACACCAACCCTGCTCTGAGGTGGTAACTCAAGGCTAAAACTTTACCTTCAGTTTTCCTTCCACCGATTCTTGGGGAAAAAATGGTGGGGTAGACTTATTCCTACTATGTAGACCAGCAAACTAAGGCACACAGAGAGTACGTTATAGCTGAGACAAAGACAGCTTCAAACCAGGTCAGACACAAAAATGCAGCCTCTACAGCCTGCTTCTCAGTGCAGTGTCTGTCCAGCCTGTGTCTGTTTCTCTCAGCCACCAGCCTCTGCCCAGGTGCCTGCCTTGCCACGCCATACACCTCCCTCTGCCACCTCCTCCAAGTAAACTCCATGCAAATGCCCTTCTTCCTCCTGAGGTAGACTGATCTCCTGGGTCCTTCCATCAAGGACTTCCTGCAACAGCTTTTGGGTTGGTCTATGTCCACCGCTTTTCTATGCATTTGCTAGAAATCTAGGATACATTTTCAGAAACCGAATGCAATGCAATGCCTACAGCACAGTAAACAAAGCACGGGTGGTCATTCTCGGCCTCCTCCTGTGCTATTCTCTACCCCATCTTTGCCTCACTGGTACCTGCATTTCTTCCACTTCTGTGGATCATTAGTTGGATAAAATATGAAATATGTGTTTGTCATTCTTTTCTTCTTGTCCTGTTCTAATCCTAGCATCTTACTACAAGAAATGAAAGTTGACCACTTCCGTCACCAGGCCCCAATGTCTCGAATGGTCACAACTGTGAAGCCCTACAACCCCTTCAACAAGAAGGAAATAGAAGCCTTTGACTACTGTAGGAGACAACACTTCTGAGAGACTTCTCAGCCCCAGCTGGGGGGGGGAGGCTTTATGCACAGTGAAAGAGAAACAAAAGAATACAATGTTCTAAATGTGTCTGTCTGTGTGAATTGGGGTAACCAGAAAGGCAGCATGTCCAGGCCTGAGCCCAGACACTCTTCTCCCGGTGGAGGTGGCCACTCAGCCTGGTCTGTGATCCATGGTGGTGGTTGGGACCCAGAGAGTCCCCACAACAGGAATCCTCTTCAGTGCTGGAATACTGGGCCTCCCTAGAGTTTGAGGATTAGAGATGATCTTGGCCAGACCCCACATGTTATCAATGAAAAGTTGAGCAGTGGTGACAGACAATGGCATCCTTTTTGTCATCTAGGGGACAATACAACATGGGGGCATCATCTAGAGACAGATAAGAAAAACAATCTCTCTCTTACTCCAGGATTTCTGCTCTTGAGAATGAAGCATTCCCAGGCTCACTGGGGGCTCTAGACAGACAGGGTCAGGCATATACACCTTCAGATTAGTGTGGCCTGGCTGCGCTTCACACAGCAGCAGAAGCGACCAGTGTCTCCCCAGCACAATTTCATTCACAGGTTCAGGAAGCACATGCATGCTAGTTTGTACACATCTGTGTGGGCCAGTTGGAGTTACAAAGTGCTTTTATCATTTTTTTGATTTGAATTTGATGTTGCAACTCCATAATACATTCTTGCAGCAGGTGTTATACACATGCCTCGATGTTTTATAAATAAAACACAGAAAAGCTGAGAGTAAGGTATTTACCTAGAACTCAGATTATCTACCTTTAAGTAACTTACCCATTTCTATGCTGATTGAGTAACCTTAGTGAACTGTTTACAAACAGACTAAAACTAGACAAGGAGGGGAAAATTCCATGTGTTTCTAGTTTTTTTTTTTTTTGGAGTGCTTATTTGGGGGGGGTCTCACTCTCCTCCAAAATACACAAGAAGAGAGTTTACCACAGAACTCCAAATAAATGTGCAAATACCTTCAAGGGAAGCTAGGACTTTGCTTTCCCACAAAAGGAAAACAGAAATGTAGCTCCCTTTCTGCTGGAGAATGATAGGTTGCTTTGGTGGACAAAGAAATAATTTTAATGTTGACACCTATGCTGCAACAAGTGGAAAACCGGCAGCCCTTAGAACGTACTGAAGACATGGCTTGCTTTTGAGAAGACAAGGACTGCATCCTTTGAGCACAAACAAAAGTCTAATTACTTTCAGAAACTGCACGTTTGTTATGGTTTGACTGTGAAACGTCCCTCACAAGCCCTGTATGCTAACACTTTGTTCCCTGCTGGTGTTCTGCTGGGGAGCCCGCGTGGCAGAAGTGGGCTGCTACCCAAAGGGCCTTGTGGATTATACCCTAGCCTGGGTAGGCCTTGTCTGACCCTCCTTTCTATTGCTGTAATAAAACACCATGACCCACAGCAACTTGGGCTTATTTCATCTTATATGTTATTGTCCATCATGAGGGAAATCAGGAAGTTGAGGCAGGATCTTGGCGACAACAACTGAAACAGAAGGCATAGAGGAGTACTGCTTCCTGGCTTGCTCTTCCTGGCTCTCTCAGTTTGCATTCTTAAATACCTCAGGACAGCCAGCCCAAGGATGGCACCACCCATGGTGGGCTGAGTCCTTCAGTCAAGAAAATGCCTCACAGGCTTGTCCATAGGCCACTCTGATGGACTCAATTCCTTAGCTGAAGCCCCCTGTTCCCAGATGATGCCACCTTGTGTCAAATTGACAAAATAACCATCACAGGCCTGATACGTCCGCTGATGCACTAAGGTATGAGTGAGGAACTTTGCCCTCTTACCACCATGGTTTTGCCTCCCATGACTGCACCCATCAACCATGAGTCAAAGCAATCCTTTCTTCTTCAAGTTGGTTCTTTGAGTATTTTATCATAGCAATAAGGAAAAAAATGAATGTACAGAAGCAAAACAAGAGACCAAATAAAAATCTTCAATTCTGGAATATTCCTAGTGAAACACAAATGGAGTAGAATTAGCCCATCTTGCAAGTAGATGAATGGGATACCGGAGGTTCAATTTTTAGCAAAGATTTCAGGCAGACCACCTGTCAGAGGTGTTGCTGCTCAACCCTGAGGCAACCTGCTCATCTTTCCAGGCCTTTGTGGTGGGACATAGCAAAGGTGACATAGAGTTTGGAGATCAGAAACACTTTTCCATTCTCTGCAATGTAGATATCAGAACACTCACCAAGGCTCTTGTGCCCTTCCAAAGCTGCTTCTGAAAAGACGCTGACTTTGTTTGCAGCATCCACATGACCTCACTCAGAAGAAACACACTGACACTCTGTTAGGGCTATAACTCAACCAGGCGTCTCATCTGTGAAGACACAAGCTGAATCTAGGTATGTGAAGACACAGACCTAGAATATGGGCCAAGCATAACCACAGAGAACAGAGCCATAGCAGTGTTCCTGGTCTGGGAATGTGAGCTATAATATTGGTGCTTCTGTGGCCAGTAGTCCAGTCAGAGATGAATGTGAGGGCTATATGCACACATCTGCTTTTCAAATTCTGCACCCTAGGGCTGGGTTATGCAGCCACATCAGGATCCAGCACATAGGCACATTTTTCTCCCATCCAGTGCCCCATACAATTACAATGTCACTCTCACAGACATATGAAGAAAGTGACTTATCAAAGAGAACCTCTGCTATTTAATGCAGTTATAAATTAAGGCATACATGTCCAGGGTGGTGGTACACACTACAGCCCCCACCTACACTGGAGGCTGAGGCCGGAAGATTACTAGCTCAAGCCTAGGCTGAAAAATTTAGCTTTTTGCAAAATATTTTTTAAAGGCCCAGAAATATCATCTCAGTGGTAGAGCACTTGCCTAGCTTATTCAAGGCCCTGACTTACCTGGGAGAAGATGCATGTTAATATTACTCCAGCCAAATATGGAAGTTCACAATATGAAAAAGGTGACCTTTGCCATGGTAGAGCAGTCAGAAATGGATAGATGAAATCATTGCATACTCCCGGGTGCAAGAAAAATGGTATTGAACATGTGGTATTAGGACAAATATGTAGAATCAGAAAGAAAGATAGTAGACGTTCCTCTAGGTCCATGGCCAGCCATGGTTAGTTGGTAAATTTACATACTAGGCATGAATTTCCTCCTTTTGCACAGTCCTTTAAGTTCAGTTACGTGGCTGCTGCTTGCCCCTAAGAAGTGTCCCTAACTCTTGGGGTTCTCTCGTCATTCTGGTCACTGTTGAGGGTCATAGGCTTTATGGCTGAGTAGACTATTGATTGCTTTTGTCCTCATGGCAAGGTGGCCAAGGTGGCTTACTTGGGAGAATATTAGACTGAAGAACTTAGTAGCAAGAAAACATTGGCCCCTTCTCTAGAATTGGTTTTGAGAGCAAATTTCTAGGCAGAGAGTAAGGAGATAAAAGGGGCCATTTGTTGCCAGCTGCTTCTCAGTCACCATTCGGGACATATGCTCATCTATGCCAGCTTCCTCTAGTAAAAAGTGACATTTACAAAGCTGATATTCTTTTCACCATGGACAGCAGGTGCCTCCCATAATCTGGAGATGTCTCTGAGACATGACTATCAGTCCAATGGCATCCCCTAACACAGTCCTTTGGTCAGTAACCCACTTTAAAAATGGATTTGACAATGGCTGATAATGTCCTTTGTTAAAGACACCAAGAGTTTCTCTTGCCAAGAGGAGGAGACAAGGAGAAACTTCTAATTTATACTCTCAAGAAAACCAGCCTGAATCCAGAAGGTAAAAAGGAGCATGATACAACTAAAAACATCTTAAGAAGACATTAGGAATGACAGTCCCCTGTAAGATGTATACTTACCTGGCACCAAAAGACCCTCCCTTTATCCAACTGTTTACACACCTCACTGCTAAGCCCACCCACTCTCTTTGTTCTAACTTAGAAAGCATTTTTTCTCTCTTCTTAATCTCTTTTTTATTTAGACCTTGGCCAGGCCAGAATCCTATCCTAAGACTCCTCATTCTGACATTTTCTCTCTCTCTCTCTCTCTTTCTCCTCTCTGTCCTCTCTCTCCTCTCCCTTTCTCCATGGTGTGTGTGTGTGGCGGGGGGGTGGGGGTGTATACATCCACACCCATACAATGGCTCACAAAATTCCATTGCTGGGCCTGTCTGCTTTCTTGATCTTTTGACTGAAAAGATTAACGTTTTCTTTGGTGTTTGTTTGTTTGTTTGTTTGGTTCATCTTTCATCTCCCACAAGCTGCCAAGATCTGCAACTTGCCTGCCTTCTGGTTGTTATTTACTATGAAGCTTCAGTAAAAATTTCCTTAAATTTCTGGTAGAATCCATTTTAAAATTATTTGAGATACAGCTATAATAGTCTTTAAAGACGGACCTGCATCTTTAAATGATAGTATCTAAAAATCTGGTACATTATCCATCTCAATGTTTTATAAACTTGGGGGTTGTTTATAATATAGAAATAGGTAAAGTTATATGGAGTAAAACATTTGTTTTCCTCTGCCTGGCAGGAAGCTCAGAGTTGATTGAATAATCACATTAACATAGAGACTTAGACAAATGAAAGAAGGGTTTCACATTGAAAACTGCTATTTTAAGAAACCCTTTGAATCATCCTGGTGCACACACCCAAACTCTGGTGGTTTGTAAACCTGCCTCCCCACCCACTCCCACTTTCTACACAGTCTAGGTTCTTCTATGTCTATGACAAGGTCCTTATGGTATCAGGAGGCACCTTAGATGATTAAAACCACACCCATTACACTAAAAATAAATAAACCTTCCATTTTCTCAGAAGTTCTGTGCCCCGTGAGGCAGTGTTGCTGAACTCAGATCTCTCCTAATCTCTGTTCAAATTGCCTTTGTGACCAGAAAAGGCAATTCCCTGTTAGTTGGAACAAGCTAACAACCCAGAGTTATTTCATAATATATTAAAAATACACCAACATAGATCCATTTGCTCCACTTAGTCCAGAGTAGGACAGATGATTTTTCTGAATCTCTAGATTTACAGCATCCACATACAATTGTAGACTAATAACTATCAAAGGCACAGAGGAAATTTCAAAGCTGAAGAGCTACCATCAAAAATGAAACAGGCATGTTTGTCTGTAAAATATTTGGGGAATTGGTATAAAATTGTTATCATGAAACCTATTATTATATATAAATAATATATGCTAATAAAAATATTAATTTGAAAACAGCATTTTTTATATATTTGCTCTTACCATGCTAAGGCACTCAGCTCTTGATTATTCCATAATCAGCCTGAACAATGCTGAGGCTTGCCTCCTCCTCTCTAGCTGAACTACCTCAGTCACCTAATACAAATGAATAAACTACACTAGGGTTATAAATATCAACATACTGCTGGGATTCATCTTCACTCATTCAATGGAACTTCAGGGCACAAAGATGGGGAGGCTCCTAAGGGGGTCAGTAAGCAATTAAGAGCAATGTACAAAGAGCCGTTATGCCGCATTCAGGTACAGAAGCCTCAGTGAAGGTGAGCTTACTGTAGGCTAAGCTCAGACAAGCTGCACATTAAATCTTTAGCAATTATCTCTTAACTGCAATGCATTTAAACATTAAAACATTGTCATTTTCTAAGATACATGTGCTACTTATACACACATGTGTCAGGCAGCTAGACAGACAATAACAAGCTTGAGGATGGGACTCTCCCTCATACTTGACTTCGGACCCATTTCTTGTTTCCCCGGTGACATGAGAAATTAACACACCACAACCATTACCTTAATATTGAAACAGCTGTATGAAAATACAGAGACTTCGGGGTTTTGTTGAGGCCCATAAATGGGAAGCTGCTTGCTCCCAGCCAAAAGAATGGAATCTCACTCCATTCTACCTCTGACCCTGGGTAAAGAGAGGGCAGTCTCATCTGCCTCAAAGATTAAAGTACAACATGCAGGCCCACAAGACGGCTTAGCAGGCAAAGGTGCTGGCCACTGAGCCTCATGTCCTGAGTTCAAACCTAGAGAAAAAAAGAATCAGTTCCCACAAGTTGTGCTCTGACATCCACATGCATGCAGTGGTACAAGTTCTCTCCCCTATATGCATGCATACATACATATACACAAACATACAACGAATGTAATAAAAAGATTAAAAACACATTGTATTCTATTGAAATTTCCCTTAACAATTAATGTAAGCAGAATCCTACAAAAAGCTGCCCTGAAACTCAATAACCAGTAGGAACCCAACACTGTAATGTAAATCTGAGCAGTGGCCCCTTTGGTCATTGCCCACTCTCTCCCTTAGGATAGGGGTGGCTCACTTTGTTCTGGAATTAATTCTATTTTCTACATGAGGATCTTCTATTCTACACTCTGTCTATCTTTTTCAGTTCATTTGCCAGAGAACATAAGGGCCCGGGAGTCAGTGCTGAGCATAGTGAGATTCCGGTGACAGTATAAATAAAGGATAATTCAATAAACATCAGTAATATATCTTCACCTTAAAAATTACATGTCTTTGTGAAAATAAAAATGGGTGGATTACTTTGGAACTGGGGAATCACTGTTGATTGACAAGGCTTGGGCATCTAGGGGGATCCAGAAAGCACTCTTGTAAGACTGCAGGAAAATACAAACGTTCTCAGCAGCTACCATCATTTCCAATCCTGATTGTATTAGTATTGTGGCATCACAAATCCTATGCAATCTACCCAAATGGTACTCAAAAACAACACTGTGGTTTTAATTTAATGCATACGTTTTAAAAATTTGCTTGTTTCTTCCTTTCGTTGTAGTTGATTTTGCATACACTAGCCATTGCAGTTAAAATATATCCTGCTCCATCTGCTGTAAAGGACGTTTCCTCACGCTTGTTGAAGACTGGCTTGGAGAGTCCCTGTGGCCCTCTATCTAAACTGTTCTTGTGGTTACAGGTGGGGGCAGGGCTGGCTTCCTCCTGCCAGCCCCAGCTGTTGCAGGCTACTCTGTGTGGGTTTCCAGGACAAGCTCTGCTGATTCTAGTTGGTAAGTTGTAATGGAAACAGCTTTACTTTGTTACAGTCACATTTTGGAAATAAAGCCCCAACACGTGTTTGGTGTAAATCTATTTTTCCAGTGTTGGGAGACCGTTTTCATTGTGTCTTCTGCGGGCAGAGCCACAGATAAAAGATAAAGCCAGACTCAGTGAGCACCCTGTGGGGACAAGCAGGAAGAGGCATGTGAGCGGAGAAGGGAAGGGAAGGGCCCCACGCACTAGGTGCCATGGGGTTGTAGGGTGTGCCGCAGTGGAGTTCATGCAAGTCAACTTTGCAGAATGCCAGATCAAGGCTGCAGACTCTGGTGGAACTGATAGCCCTCGGTGGTTCCTTCCCCATGTAAAGCACAGCCATAGGTTCTCTTGAGTGATTGCTGAGTTTCAGGATGCTGCTGGAGCTGGTGGGAAGAGCACTGAGCAATGAAGAAATCAAGCAGAGACTCTGACAAATAGATGAAGGCAGGAGGAGGGAATAGTATATTGTCTGTTCCCAACTAGAAAGGATGGTCACAGATCATCAATTCCAAAACAAGGCCAGTGCTCTAGGTAAATGCAAGTGTCTCTTAGTATCTTTGGGAGAACTTGTTCCAGGACCCTGGATGGGATCTACATTTTCAAGAGGCTTAGATAACATTTCAAGATGTAAACATAATCTATTCACACCTTCTCATGTACCCTACCAACCTAGATTCTTTATAATACCTAATACAATCAAATGTTATATAGTTTTTATGTTATGCATTTTAAAGAATAATTAAGGAACAAAATGTAGGTATATATTAAGTATAGACACAATAATAATACTTTCCCTAAATATTTTCAGCATTCCATTGGTTGAATCAATGGATACAGAACAAGCAAATTTGGAGGGCCAACAATGTTCCTGACTATCCTGCTTCATGCTTTGCTGTTAACACTCAATTTTAGATGAGGACAAGCGTAACCAAAGGATTCCCTGGGATGCTCATTGAAACACTGTTTTCAGTGTCGGTGCCCTCAGAGCCCTTCAATGAGATGTTTCTAAGACGAGTGTGAATGTTCACATGTTCTTCTTTCAAGATCTAAAGCCTAACAAACAAGTGATTGCAGGTGTTCTCTCCGCTATTGGAAGGACTGCTGTCTGGGGAAATCCCTGAGTTTCCTGTTGCTTCCTTAGATCCCACATGCAGAGTGTGAGGGCTCCTCAGGTGTAGCCCATGCTGTAGAGAGGAGCTCAGCTTCAGGGCATGATGTTTATCTACTAGTGTGTTCCTCACAGCTATGTAGGCAAAGCTGGGAGAATGCAGCCGATCTCTCTATCCTTAAGTCACCCAGAACCTCCAAGTTCAGAGTTGCAAAAGAAAACCCAGCTGTCTTGGGAAAGTTGGGTCCTATGAAATTTGGCTCAACAGTGGCCAAAACTGAGAGCAGAAAAGCAAGAGAAAATATAGGGAGCTTTCTGCAAATCTGAGCCTTGGTGCAGCCCTTGTGTCATCTGTATAGGTAGTTCTTTTATCTGCTTTGATTTATAGGTACTGATTTAATTATTTAAACTTCTGCAGTTGTAAATGAATTAATTTAGAGTCTCTAAAAATGTGAATGAGTTATGAAAACTGAAGTTTTGGAAAGTAGAGTGCTATATAGCAGATCAAAATGTGTGTCTGATTGCACTTCTGAAAAGTGCTGGTGTGTGTGTGTGTGTGTGTGTGTGTGTGTGTGTGTGTGTGTGTGTTTACAAGTGCATGTGTAAGTATGCATGCATGTTCATTTCTCATTGCCCTTGGACTTGAGGAGTTCCCTTGACTATGTCTGTCTTGGAAAAATAACTTATCTTCCCCAATTTACTCATCAAACTAGGGTCAGAAACATACCTTTTAGGTCATTGGTTTTCTTGGTTTGCTATTTAAAAGGATATGTCTCAACTGCCTTCTAGTAAAGGTCACAGAAATATTAATATGCTTCTAAAACAAAAGGACCAAAAGGCTCAGCCTTCAACATAAGTTAAAGTGTGGTGATGCAAATTGCAGAAAATCAGTGGCCTGTGTCTCCAAGAATTATTTAATAATGAATTTATCAGTAGAAAAATAAAAGGACCTCTCTCAAGTAACCCATACACAAAACAGCTAAGACAAGCACAGGGAAAAACAGAGCGGAGGGGATTAAAAGGAGACACTCCAAGGACTTTCCCAAAATGGGACAGGGGTGTAGTGTTCTCATGCTCCCGAAAGCCTTGAAAAGGTGTGAACCCACCCAATGTGTAGCCAAAAAGCCCAAAGAGGGTGTACATGGAGAGAACCCAGCACAAAGGGTATACCTGACGTAGTTAGTCCAGCCAATAATCAGGACACAGCCATCTTTTTATCAATAGCAATCCAAAAATGTACACGGATACTTGGGATAATTCTGACCAGTTTGCCATCCCTTAGATTTAATTCACAGAATCAGTGAATTCTATAGTCCAAAGGCCCTGACATGTCCATGAGTGGTGTGGCCATACCTCCATGGTGGCCTGACAAGCAAATATTCAGGTTATATCCCATATTGTCCCTCTCTCATGTACTCACGGGAGTTCAGGAGTGGACCTTGCAGCTCTGTGGAGGTGAGTGATCCTGAAACTTCACCAACGAGCAAGTAACCTCAAAAGGCCTTCTCTCTCATCAAAGAACTAGGTTTTGTGTTGGCCATAGTTTGAACACAGTTTCTCTGAATTTTTCATGGTTTGCCTGTTGGGGTGCCTGGGCCCCTGAGAGAAGGGTTCTGTGATTCAAACAGCTGCAGCAGCCTACTCAGACCACAGTGGGAATACCCCTTCCTCTCCCACAGGCCTTGCTGACAAGAGCTCAGTTCCACCAGGACCTCTCCTGCACATATGCTCAAATGTGCTTCCTGGCTAAGGAGAAACAATGAACTCTGAAGTCCAGAGGAAGGTCTTCCAGGGACACTGGTAAGGGAATTTTTCTGTGTATGGGGGACCCTACAGTTCCACCTTATCTGAGACATACTCTCCTGTATCTCCTCAGATGAGAGTACTTGCTTAAAGGTGATTAAAGTTTTCTGCTTATACTCATTCAATCCTTATTTTTCCAAAATTATAACACTTAAGACTTCAAAAATCCATATGTGTGTGTGTGTGTGTGTGTGTGTATACTATCAGAGCTAGGACCAATTCCCTTTGGAACCTGCAATTGCTCCCTAAGCCCCATCCTGGAAGTCAACACAGCTAGCCCAGGTCAACATTGCAGGACCATTAAACTGGCTCCCGTTCTTACTCTGACTTGTGGAAGGAGTTGATGATCTGAACTGTACCTTTCACACTGAGAAAATGAAAGGCTTTTGAAAGTGTTGGGGAAGAGCACATGCTCAAGTGCCTGGCAGAGTAACGGCCTTCAATTAACATTAACAATGGTTGTAATTAACCATAGCATTCCTTGAAATCACGCCTCTGGCTCCATAGTCTGTGTGTACTGTGCATGTCCAACCTGCTCAGCCCATAGGAACTGTCACTGGTAACTATATCCTTTCAACCTTCAGCTTGGCTCAGTCTCAGCAATCCTGAAAAGCCAGTGACATTGCAGCTCATGCATGTGCCACTTGTGGTGGCTCTGAGGCTCTAGCATTATAAAGGGACAGCTTGTTTGGGTCCATGCATATTCATGTGTGGATATCTATATTTGCACATGCATGCATACACACACACTCACACATATGAAGCCTTCATTCCAATAAGCATTTCAAATACATTTTTTGTCTATCTCATAGATAAGTTGAAGAAAGTTGACACCACTAAATTAACAACTCTTGAGAATTGCTGGTACTGAGTATTAAAAAATAAATAGGACAAGTCAAAGCTTCATTCTGAAAAATATTTGGCTGCCAGCCTAAGGACTATGAACATTGAATAAAGATTTATGAGTGTTGATGGTGACTATAAATTGAATGACAGGCTGGTGTGGATGGGAAGAGGACTGAATACAAGGACTTAACATTCGGTGCCATTTGCCTCACTGTGGTGCCTTCAGTTGCCTCCCACTGATGCAAGATCTAGAGTCAGAGAGCATGGGACACAGTGCTAGGTTCTGGTTCTGTTGTCAGACACAGGGAGCTCACCCTTGAGCCTTGCTAGAGCACTGCATGGGCTCTTAACTTTCTCTTAAGCTTCGATGCATGTGCTCAAGGCCATTTCTTTGTTGCCTGAGTCTTACTTGCACCCCTACCCTCTTCTTTCCCCAAGTTCATATCTTCAGTCTTTGCCTTCAACATGGACTGTTCCATCAAAGCTGCCCAATGTTAACATTTGTTTTAGGAGTAAAAGAATTCTAGCGAAATCTATACACCTAAAAAAGATTATCAAGAGAGCGGACATGGGGTAAGATGATCAATCCTCATTTAGAAAGACAGATGGGATGTGCATTGAACGTATGACAGGAGTCTACTGAGCGCATCTGAAAGACTCTAACTAGCAGTGTTTTCAAAGCAGATACAAAGACTCATGACCAAACCTTCAGCAGAGTACAGGGAATCATATGAAAGAAGGGGAGTTAGTATGATGGGGAAAGGATAGGAGCTCCACAAGGACCAAATATATCTGGGCACAGGGTCTTCTCAGAGACTGTCATTCAACCAAGGACCATGTATGGATATAATCTAGAACCTCTGCTCAGATGTAGCCTGTGGTAGCTCAGTAACCAATTGGTTTCCCATAGTGAGGGGAACAAGGATTATTTCTAACAGGAACTCAATGACTGGCTCTTTGACCTCCCCACCCCCAAAGGGAGGAGCAGTCCTGTTAGGCCAGAGAGGAGGGCTTTGCAGCCAGTCCTGAAGATACCTGATAAAACAGGATTGGATGAATGGGGAGGAGGTCCCCCCCTATCAGTGGACTTGGAAAGGGGCATGGTGGAGATGAGGGAGGGAGGGTGGGATTGGGAGGGAATGAGGGAGGGGAACACGGCTGGGATACAGAGTTAATAAAATGTAACTGATAAGAAAAAAATAAAATTAAAAAAAAGAGAATTCTAGCAATGTATCTCAGCTGCACATGGCAATGGAGCTCAGAGCGACATACTTACATTTGCATTTGGTATGCACTGATGGAATCCAACCACCTTCACAACCCTCCACTGCACCTGCCCCAAATCTCTGGTAGTTACTTTTCTGCCTTCAGTGGAGTTCTAAAGTCTCAGTTCCCCCTGAGCTCTTTTGAGCAACTCCACCTCTTCATATACAACCTTTTAGCTCTGCTGAATAGCTCCACTCCTGTTTCTTTTGTCAAAATTATCTTTGTTGATGACTATCAAATATAAGCCTGTTGATATAGCATTTCACATAAATATTTCAGTGACAACAGTATCTACCTTTGGACCTAATCCCCAACCCCTTCGCCAAGTGCAGCAATCTTTCTAAACACAGCCTTGTGATCCCTATATCTAATCTTTCCAAGCACATTTGTTAGCACCCTCAGCCCATCTCTGCTGTAGCAGGATGACTGTTGTACATGTTTTAATAGTGTCTCTGCCTTTGCTTAGACTGTCTGCTTTTTATGCACCAGCTTCCTTACCTTAAAGATCCAATACTAACAACTCCCCTTTGAAGCCCTCTCATTTCCAGAGGAATTAAAGATACCCTTCTCATCCTTTTTATTGCACTATATTAAAAAAAAAATCTCTGTGCCCTGTTTGTTCTACAAAGCCAGTAATAATGTCCCCGTCCTATAAGGTTAGAAAAAAAGTTGTCATATTCTGGCCACAGAGGTAATGTTACAAGAAAGTAAATGAAGTCCACATATATGAGAGACAGAAAGCTGCAGGGTCAGCAAGTTCATTTGGTAGGTAAAGGTGCTTGCTGTCAAGCCTGCCAACATGAGTTCGCTCCCTAGAACACGTATGGTTGAAGAACACCTACTTCTGCAAGTTGTCCTCTGACCACCATGTTTCTACACAGAGGAATAATATATAAATAAAATTACTTTTTTTAAATTGTAACTATTACACTTAACATAATGGGATCTCTAAGATGGTGTAGGCGACAGGAAAATGCCTCGATCTCACTGACTTCAA